GTGTGGTTTGAAAGGGATCTTAACTATTTTTGTTACATTATATTTTTTAAGCTTTATTAAAATTCCATTGAAGCTCTACTAACTTTATGCGTAATTACTGCAACAATATTTAATGTAAATTCTAATTTAGATATATTATCGTTTTTCTTTTATTATTTTGGCAACTGTTAAATTGAAATGTGTAAAAGTTATTTAGATCATATTAGTGTATTAAGTGTGAAAGTACATGTAAAATAATTTGAAAAAGAAATATATATTTAAAAATGAACTTTTTTGTACTTGTAAACATATTATGACATGAAAATAAAGTCTTACAATGGAATAGTTTGCATATTCTTTTTCTTGTGAGAATGATAACGAAAATCTTTAAGCCAAGAAATTTTCAAAAAACATCGATCCCTCCAGGGGAGATAATACTATTAATTACATCAATAATTTTTAAACTTCGTATTAAATTAAAAAGAATACAGGCACTTAGTTAAAGTGGTACTTATAAGTACCGTCAGTAGATAAAGGCTTAAAATATATCAGAGTTTTAAAATCAATAATTTAAGATGTAGGAAATTCGTAAAGCTCATTGGTAAAGTATGACAAATATAAAGCAGAAAATATCGAAAGTGTAAAGAGTGAAAAAAAAAACAATTTTAATATCAAGTTTTTATGTAATAATGCACCAAAAAGTAGAAAATAAATTATTCACTACTATTTAAATAACTATAAAGAAAAGCGTGACTCACTTTAGTATCTATTGGATACCTATACTAATATTTTTTAAGAGACCTTCGATTTTCTTTATAGTTATTTAAATACTAGTGTATAAATATATTCTACATTTTAGTGCATTATTACATAAAATTTTGCTATTGAAACGTTTTTTATGAATTTTTTTTTCAGTACTTTAAATTTTAAAAATTTATAATAGAGGTGCATGACTAAAAACCATTGCGTATCTAATGAACGTGATGACGCGTGTATAATAGTGCGGAATAGTTTGATGAGACAGCCTACTAATTTGGACACTAGTTTAATTAATTCATTAAAAAATGATTAGGCAACCAATTAAGTCAAGCTTAATGTCATGTTGCATTGTCTTTATGTCTTGACCCACGTACCAAATACGAACCGTATCTGTGAGTTAGAAACGCCTGTAATTTTGTTCGGATGTTTCGATCTAGATTGACGACAGACTAACGACATAACGACAGAAACAATGAATTAAATAAAAAATTATAAAAAGAGTGAAATACAATGAATTATATTAGTTTTAAAATCATTGAAATAATATGAAATCTGAAAAAAAAACTGACATTCCAAGAGAACTACAATTATATATTTTATGCAAACGTTCATATTTTTGACAAATGGTGACTCTAGCCTGGGTTGAAAAGTGTCTGGACGTTTCACATACAAACAGACTTACATAGGGTTTTATAAAATCGTCCGAGTTGTTTTACTTAGTCACGAAGGTACGTTTGTTTTCCAACAATGTGAATTAAAGTATTAAATTAAATGCGCTAAAGTGATGATAAATGGAATCTTGTATGGTGTTTCTTGTCTTACTAATATACAATTAATTGTGGCTCGTATAGATATTAATTAGTAATTTATTCTGGGGTTGGGTGATTTACATATCAATCATGTATATGAGAAAGAGTTATGGCTTCTAAACTACAGATTAATTCAGGAAATGTAAACTGTTATGTAAGTATCTATAAAATTTAAAATAATGATGACATAAAAACTGTTAGGTCAGTCTAACGATAATGTGTAATACAGTTAGGAAAGTGTTTCTTTGTATGTTTTTATTATTGGGATCATTCCAGCAACATTCTAAAAATATCATTGAAATCAGGCAACAAACAGACATATCACCTCAAATAAAGTCGTTTGCTCTTTGTGTTGATAGGAATGTGTGGTTAAATTACAAAGTATTTAAATGCGCACACGCTTTTAGTGACCTCAAGACCTGATGAAAATGACCTGAAAAATCTTTAGCAAGAGAAATTGTAGGTGACCTTTTGTGGAAGACTGACCATTTACATGACATGTTTGAAGTGACCTTTGGGGGAGACTGACCAGTTACATGACAGGTTGAGTGACATTTTGGGGAAGACTGACCAGTTACATGCCATGTTTGAAGTGACCTTTTGGGAAGACTGACCAGTTACATGACAGGTTGAGTGACCTTTGTGGGAGACTGACCAGTTACACGAGAGGCTGTAAGGGACCTTTTGGGGAAACTTACCAATTACATGACATGTTTGAAGTGACCTTTTACAAGACAGTTTCATGACCTGATTACTAGTGAAGATTGGTGTCTAACTAGGGAGGACAAAAGTATTCAGTTCTTACCTTCTACCTGTTAAAGTTCCATAACTATTGTTAATAAGAACTTTCTTGACATTTCTGGTTTAACTAATTTTTACTTTCTAGTATATACGAAGTATAGAGAAAGTATTGTAATCGTGCAAAAAAAAAATCGAGATTTTTACAAATCTCGACGTTTTACACCTCACTGATACGGAAAAACATAATTTTGCAATCTTGTCCGTATGTCTGTGTGTCTGTCTGTCTGTCTGTCCGTGTGTAAACACGATAACTTGAGTACCGTCACAGCTAGGTTGATGAAATTTCATATATAAGTATTTTATCAAAATCGTAGATCCGTATCAACTTTTGAGCGATTTCCGATAACCGGAAGTGGTACTTTTCCTACTTTGAATTTTTCAAAAGCCTATAACTTGAGTACTATTTCAGATAGATAAATGACATTTCAAATGTAAGTAAAAGATCTAATTCTCTACCTTCTGTTAAATTTTGAGTAATTTCCGTTGACTGGAAGTAGTACTTTACGCTACTTCCGATTTCTCAAAAAACAAATGTAAATTTTAAAGTACTAATAATATTGCGCACTATTGTGCGCTTTTTTTTGGCGTTCAATTGGTGTGCAATTAATTTGTCTACGAGATTTTATTCTATTTTTAAAACTTTAAGTATTTAAAATGGATTAAAATCATGTCTATAGCCCGAGTTCCCATCCCCTATTATTTTATATAAGAATATTCGAGAAAGTTTAGGGGAGATCACTCCCGGTTTATTATTTAATATTATTTTGTAAACATGAGAACCAGTTTCATAAAGCAGAAAATAATCGTACGAAATTGTAAAAAAAAAACTAATTAGTCGTGTTACAATGGACATTTTTAGTAAAAGTTTTTTTTTATCGACTATATAGACCTACTCAATACATTCTTTATTATTTCTATTAATCTGCAATAATTTGTGGTATAACAGAAATTACAGGTTTTAATTTTTTTTATATTGTATCTTGTTTGGATTATTAAAAAAACACACCATTGTTAATGTTAGTGATATTAAGAAAAATCAAATGCAAAAAATTTCCTCTTGAGATGATATGGAACCATCTGCAGGTTCTATTTAATGTATTTTCTTTAAACGCCACCCCCCCTCGTGTGAGCAACGTGCCTCAGTAAGACGTGAATACACAGTTTTGTTTGTTGTGGGCAAAGATTTTCAAAACGTAACATTTAACATTTCATATTATGATATGTTGAACATTTTACTTCTTTTAATCATACTGCGTGTTACACGAATATTTGATACATAACTAACCTAACATCATTTCTTATTGTATACATATTATTGAGGAAGTGGACCTTTTGCAATTTTGCACACTATCTTAAGCAAGATTTTGACAAACCGGTAACCAGAAGTGGTACATATTATAATTTTGGGTTTCGCAAAAGCCGACAAAAAAAACCCACAGTGAATTATTATTTTAATGTGTTACAGGTTTTATATTCTGTGTCTTCTACATAGTAAAAACGAATATTATAGATTAAACAGTTTAGCAATACATTACATTTATTTTTATTATCTATATATATATAATTCTCTTCTTAGAGACCCTAGAAAGCACCAAGCTGTAAGCGCGCTTCCTACCACCCCCACCCCTACATGTTCTGGTGAGCTGTGGTTCACGCTAAATGTTTACAATCGTAGAGCCGGGTTTAGTGACGGGTATTAGGGGCAGATAATTTAGTTTGAAACGATTTTAAATTTAGGGGAGGTAACTAAGAGGAGGCTGCTTAATGAGCTACTGATAGTGTTTTAAAGCAAAAATATTCAGTGGCAGCATTGGTACTGTCGAATTCACATATTATGAATTACTGAAAAGTAGCAAATAAAACAACTAGATCTAAATAGCGGCATATGATACGCCGCGGGTCGGCTCGTTATTCTTAATTATGCATTTCCAGTTTTTATAATTTGACCCAAGATTAATATTTACATGTTTTTATTTAAATAGTATCAAATTAAGTTATGAATAGTTAGCCTTTACTCCACCCATTTCTCACAAAGGGAAACCAACACGTTTTTTTTTTTAAATGTCTATACATTTAATCTCCTATTGATATTGCTTCCCTTAGTTAAGCTAACGTCTATTTTATTGGAAAAATGTATCCAATATAAACCGGCGAAGATTTTTATTTTTCTGTGGTCTATGAATAGCATTTTACCTTTTACTGAAAAAGGCAAGTGAAGTCCTAGTTGACGCTTCTGCTATCATTAGTTCAATCTAGTGTGGTGAATTATTCGTGTTAGATTTGTGTGCTACTGCAACTAATTTTAATTAATTTTTAGCACGTTTTTTTCGAATAGAGCTATATTATCGTTCAGTTAGAATGCTATATTTATCAACGTTGCAGTTGAAGAATTTACATTACAACACAATGACACATTTTATAATTAAACAAAGACTTGTTACTCTTGACTAAGATAACTTTATTTAATCAGCAAATGAATCCATAAAAGTACACACATTTTTAATTAGAAAAGTGATATAGAATTTTCCCAATTGCTTTGTTCATTGTTTAATTGTTTAATCTATTTCTATTAATACAAAGCAAAACAGAAGGAGAGAAATTTAAAACAAAATATTTATATTCTTTAAAATTTAGAAAGAGAAGAAATAGATTTGATGAAGTAAAGGACGTCACAAATCTGAAACAGCAAAACCTCTGATGTCAAGACCAGACCAGACGTTCTGTGTTTAAAAAAATAAATAATATTATCAATTCAGCATGTGTATACCTAATTAGCATTGTACATATTGAATGGTTATTTATAGTTTAAGCATGTCATTCAAATATCACTAACACGCAAGAACACACACTCATAAAATATAAAAATATAGAATATCAAATATCACTTACACACACATGCGTACTCAACCTCACACAATATGAAAATACATAATTTACGAATATATAAATTCAAGCGCTGAAATATCACAAACAATATTTATACAATTAAAAAATAAAATGATTTCTTAAATTAATTTATCGGACATTGGTGTTAACTTACTTCTGAGAAACTAGACTTTCTTAGCCCCTCCTGCAATGTTTCTCTAAAAAGAAACAGAATGTTTTTATAAGATGTAAAAGAAACATTCATGTAGTAATAATAACCCTACAGTATAATTTATAAATTAATAATATATTTAAATAATTTCTAAATAAAGTAAAAACAAAAATTACTTGTTGTGACTCTTTCAGTTGTCGTCGCTTGATCTACAATAAAATGTTTAATATTTTAATAAATTTTAATGGTAAGGAGTTTGTAGGTCTCTCTCTTTCTCTCTCTCTCTCTCTCTCTCCTCTCTCTCTCTCTCTCTCTCTCTCTCTCTCGCTCTCTCTCTCTCTCTCTCTCTCTATATATATATATATATATGTGTATATATATATATATATATATATATATATATATATATATATATATATATATATATATATATAATGCTTGTAAATCTAGTTTCTCTCGCTTAACAATTCGAAATCTACTTTGCCAGGGAGATCTATTTATTTCCGAACTAATTTAATTGTTTAGAACATGATTTAGATAGATAAAAAAACATGGCGACAGTGTGTTTGTAAGCCACGCTATTAGATTTTATAATACCCAAAATACAATGAATTGTTTACCCATTGCGCAGCGCACTTTTGGATTAAATGTGATCTCTTCGGTCGTGTCAAACTTTTCTCCGTCTGCAACTTGAAGCTCACAGATGCCCCCAGTTGGCATATTATAAGTCAGACATATTGGGTTATCTACGCAGTCCTGGAAACATTCCTGAAATTCATAACAGAACATGATACTCAACTATCAAACGAATACAGGTTAAAGTTAGAGGCGAGCTTGCTTTGTGTATCGCTTGCTAGCTTGAAAGAAAACTCTATTGAAACCCTAAACGAGAGCTGGATGAACGAATACCGTTTGCCCGAAGGAAGTGGCGTAGCGAGGCCGGGTGTCACCCGGTGCGGCACCTAAAGGTGCCACCCCATCAGAGGCGTAGCGACTCTTCCTAGGGACAAACTTTCAATTTTCGGTTTGCACCCCCCCTCGAACTTTCGATTTGCATCCCCCCCTCAATTTTTTCTCTATACATTTTACTATTTTGTGCCTTGGTGTCACCCCCAAAATGGTGTCACCCAGTGCGGTCCGCACCCCCGCCCCGCCTCCCCCCTCGCTATGCCTCTGCCCGAACGCCGATTTCCCGAATGGACACTTGCCCAAATACGAAAATGCCCGAATGGACAGTTGTCCGAATGGGACAAATGCCGAATTAACACTTTCCCGAATACAACAAATGCCTAAATGGACACTTGCTTAAATGTGACATATGCCAAATGGACACTTGCCCGAATTAACACTTTCCCGAATACAACAAATGCCAAAATGGACACTTGCTTAAATGCGACATATGCCAAATGGACACTTGCCCGAATACGACAAACGCTAAAATCGGAGTAAGCGGCCTTGATTGAGGTGAGAACGTCTTCCAACTAGTGGCGTAGCAAGGTCGGGTGTATATATATATATATGTATATATATATATATATATATATATATATATATATATATATATATATATATATATATTCCATATACACTTGTAAGTATGTGTATACTGATCAGTATATGTTTTTAATTTTCTTTTCTGCTGGATATATTTAATTCCCCCCCCCCCCCCCCATGCATGAATTAACATATAGCTTATTACGATTCACAACCAAACCGTTTTCCTCAGGCATATATATTGCAACGTTGAGTTGATGTAACTCTCCCCCCCCCCCCTCGTCGTCACCCCACGGTGATCGCTTTAAACTGTGCTCAGATAATACTAACGATTTGTATCTATATTCGGTCATAAATTCAGATGGGCGTTGCATGCATTCTTTATCATTAGCAGATTTTCGTCATGGTGTCATCACCCCCCCCCCCCCCCCCCTCCACCCGTGTCGGGATTTGTCCACTTTGCTCTTTAAAGACTATTTAATTCACTCTAATTAATCATTTAATAAAGTCAATTATCATTTTTCTGTATATATCTTGCTATATTTTGCATTGGTGTCACCCCCCTAAATGGTGTCGCACGGTGCGGTCCGCCCCCTTCCCCCCCCCCCCCTCGATACGCCACTGCCTCCAAAACTAAATTAAGAACGAAGATTAAGAAGTTTAATGAAGCGTTCTCGGACTTCGTGAAATAAGATTGAAACATACAGATAAAACCCCCCATGATATCATTCCACAAAGTTTACTCAAGTAACGAGTTGGATTTTTATATACTAAAAAAATAAGTAAACCTATATCATCCGATTCTATACTGGATCTAGAAGATTAATCACTATTTTGCTTGCGATCTCGCCCTTTAAAATCTATGATACAGGGATATGATACAGCCGTATGATACAGGCGTATGATAGAATGATATGATACAGGGATATGACACAGGCATATGATACAGGCATATGATAGAGGGATATGATACAGGGATATGACACAGGCATATGATACAGGCAATATGATACAGGCATATGATACAGGCATATGATACAGGCATATGATACAGGCATATGATACAGGCATATGCCCCCAATGTCAGACAACGATCATATTCGATGATCGTTGAAACAGAAGGTCTCTATTTCAAGGACCCAGCGGTTTTGAGCACGAACGGGAAAAAAAAAGTGAGATGGTGATGGTGTAAATAGCTCAAGTTTTATAACCACCATCCATATATTTCCTTAAATTTTAGTTTTAATGAATATTAAACTACATGCATGTCTTCAAAAAGTAAGAAAAAATTAGACTTAACCGTTGGATTGGTTGCAGTGGTATTCAAAAAGGTAGTCGAAGGATAAGAGGCACAATGTGCTATGACAATAATAATAAGCTTATTATATCATATATATATATATATATATATATATATATATATTGATATACATACATTACATATTATATATATATATATATATATATATATATATATATATATATATATATATATATATATATATATATATATATATATATATATATATATATATATATATATATAATATTTATTTATTTATACATTTTTTATTTATGTTATATGCACAAACACACAGGTACACAGCCATTTGTAGGCCCAAACGCATACGCAAAAGCATACACTTCCACATTCAAATCAACATCTACATCGTTATTCACTTAACCTAAATCATACCCAAATCCACACTTTAAAATCACAACCTTAATCATACACAAACGCATACCACTAACCATACCAGTTCGCAGACACATATCCATATGCATATACATACATATATGCAAACATATTCCTATACCCATCCTTATGTAAAAGAATATGAATATGCACATGAGCTCATTCATATCTGTACAGGTTCGTGATCACATTCGCATGTTCAATTGCGTGCATGGCCTTTGCATATGATCTAAAAAAAAACACACATACTGGCACACACATAGAACAAAACATTCGATCAATAGACTTGAATAGCTGGTTCCAAATGGCTCCATATTTTTGTTGCCAGAAAGTATATTTTCAAAAAAATTGTGTATTTTATCATGGCAAACAATAGTTATGTCTTTCATTACTTGGCCATTCTGGTTGAGTTCAAGGAGTTGACAACAGTTTTTGAAAACATTTGAATTAATAAAATAACTTTAGTTTTTTTCAAAGACTTATATTCAATGCGAAAATAAATATGAAAATGAGATTTATGAAAATGACTGTTTGAAAACTGCTTTACGTTTTTAAAATGTAGCTATAATATTTTTCGAATGCCATATTTTTAAAGATATATTGGAAAAGAAATGTGTATGATTGCGTAGACTTTTCAAGCCTGTAAACACGCACATATTTATACACATACAAAAATATAATTTTATTTAATAATTTAACCTTTAACCATAATGAAAAATCCTAATTAACTGAACGTCATTAAAACCATTAATATTAAAATTTCAAATTATTATTATTCAATCATTTGAAGAATTTAAAATCTTACACTGATCGTATTTGCAGATCACTCTCAAGGTTTGATCATAGCTAGGCGAGACTGGGTTCTTGGCGTACAGTATATTGCAAACTTTGGTATCACCGTTGTATACGTAAATGAAGCAAGCCTTTAGTACACAGGCTGCGAAACATTCCTGTAGGGAAAATACCGTTTAAAGTCGTAAAATAACAATGACATCTACAGCACTGAATTCATTAAACAGCAAACTTTATATAATTCCAGTAACATTGATGTTTGCTCTCTCTCTCTCTCTCTTTGTATATATATATATATATATATATATATATATATATATATATATATATATATATATATATATATCCATAATTTTAATTAATTTTAATGAAATAATTTATATATATATATATATATATATATATATATATATATATATATATATATATATATATTTATGTATATATATATATATATATATATATATATATATATATATATATATATATATATATATATATATATATCCATAATTTTAATTAATTTTAATGAAATAATTTATATATATATATATATATATATATATATATATATATATTTATAATTAAAAAACTTGATTTATTTAACATAAATAATTTTGAATGTGTATAATATCGATGATAAATATGTATGCAATTGATCATGATCATTGCTTTTGAAAGCATCAACATTTTTTATAAATGACATCTTTTTAGAACCTATATATTATTGAATAAAGCTAATGTTACTGAACATTTCAGTCTATTACCAGAAATGTGAAGCCTACATCTTTGGATTGTAACAAAAGGTTTAGAGCATACGTTTGAATCGATTTAAATACTTCAAAAAAGCACATGGATTTATTGTATATTATTAAATAGAATTCTATTTTTTTTTAGAAAAATCGACTTAACTGATTTTTATATGTACGGTTATACTAAATTATACGATACACCTGACCTGACGAAATAATTTATTTTGATTACAACATTTCTTCTAATAACCTACCCCATGATTTTGGGTTATCGGGGTTTCAAAAGAAATATCTGAGAAGAGGTAAGTTGAACACGCAGGTGGGTCTAAAATATAAAATAAATTATTGTAGCACATGTAAATGCATAAAAAAATACACACATATACACACACAAAGATATATATATATATATATATATATATATATATATATATATAGTTGTATGTATATTTGTAAACATTTGTATAATGTACCTTAGTATTTTGGCGTCCTTAGATGAAGTTTATGTAGGTGTAGGTTTATGTAGATGTAGGCGTAGATGTAGATGTAGATGTAGGTGTAGGTGTAGATGCAGATGCAGATGCAGATGCAGATGCAGATGTAGGTGTAGGTGTAGGTGTAGGTGTAGGTGTAGGTGTAGGTGTGGGTGTGGGTGTGGGTGTGGATGTGGGTTTGGGTGTGGGTGTGGGTGTTGGTGTGAGTGTGGGTGTGAGTGTACGTGGACGTTGACGTGGACGTGGACGTTGACGTTGACGTTAACGGAGCACGTTCACTTTCACGTTCACGTTCAAGTTCACGTTCACGTTCACGTTCACGTTCACGTTCACGTTCACGATCACGATCACGATCACGATCACGATCACACTCACGTTCACGTTCACGTTCACGTTTACTATCACGTTCACGTTTACGTGTGTCTGTATATATGTTATGTGCTATTTGTGTACGTATGAATTCTCTGACTTGTTTGACCTCTATTATTCCTGATTATACTCACCCTGTCCACAGCACACGCCAAAGAACAGCATGGCGCAGGTCAGCACTTTTATAGCTTCACGTACCATTTTTCTTCAGCATGTATTTCTTTGCTGTAATATTAATGAACACGACTTTAATATTAAACAATGTAGCTGCTTTACAAACTACTGAAATGAAAATTCGAATACTTTTGATAGATCCATACAGAGGCGTAGCGAGGGGGGGGGGGGGGGTGCGGATCGCACCGGGTAACACCATTTAGGGGGGTGACACCAAGGCAAAAAAATAGTAAAATATATAGAGAAAAATATGACGGGGGGGGGGGGGGTGCATATCGAAAATTGAAAGTTTGTCCCCGGGAAGAGTCGCTACGCCCCTGGGGGTGGACACCATTTAATGCCGCACCGGGTGACACCCGACCTCGCTACGCCACTGGATCCATCTCTTTCTTCAGTTCTCGCAAGTTGTGCAAAGAATCACTATACTAGTGATACATATTTAAAATAGTTTATTTTGTTTTCAAATTAAAAAACAAAAAAAACAATTGAGTTATACATTTTGTGGTGCTATGCAAAGCTATACAGCAATGGCACGACTGCAAATAATCTTGAAATGCCCATTACATATTCTAAGCCTGTCGTTCTTAATCTGACTTCGATCAAACCCCAATGGTTCGGTTAGTCATGCTCATTGGTTCGCAGGAGGTCTAGACAAACAGCCGACTCCTATGATTCGCTATCATATTTTGTAAGTCAGGACAATAGAACAATTTGTGAAGGGCCCCGTGTATGCCCAGTTGCAATTGGTGGGAATTCCGTGACGTCTGAAAGGTTAAAAGCCACTGTTCTAAACAGTAGTAATTATAGAATCTCGATTGTGATCTTAATATTTGTAACATTTTACGTTTTAGTTTTTTTTTTGTTTTTTTTAAATAAATTGAATTTTAAACATTAAAAACGACATATCAAAAGTAATGTTTAATTTTTTTCATTTTATTTCACCTTTACAGATTTTGAAGGCATAAATTGACAAAGCCGCTTTTATTGCGTGTTAATATTATACTTTTACGTGAGTTCTTAATTTATATTGTGCGGCATATTTATATGTTTATAATATTGTTACTCCGGATGTTGTATCAAAATACAAACTAATTTATCGTTGTTAAATCTTCGTACGGCGTGGCCGAGAGGTAGAGAGCTAAACTTCTAACTCGAGTTCGAACCCGGGTTAAAACCTTTTCAGTGGGGGTACCTTGTCAGTGGGGGGGGGGGTACCTTGTCAATGGGGGATACATTGTCAATGGGGGTACATTGTCAGTGGGAAGTATCTTATCAGTGGGTGGTATATTTTCAATGGGGATTACCTTGTCAATGAGGGGTGAGGGGTACCTTGTCAGTGGGGGTTACTTTGTCAATGGGGGATAATTTGTCAGTTGAGGTTACCTTGTTATTGATGGATTAAGGTGACAGTGTTTATAAGACTTAGAATGGCGGCTCAATGTGTACATGAGCGGGAGTAAGTAGATTGTAGCCGGTTAGTTGTGGCAGAGGAAATTGAGTGCAAATGGCTGTATAGATGAGTAGATGGTGATTTTTATCTGGCAAGTGTGTTAAGGCGATGAAGGGTAACCAGGTGCTGGTATTGTGAGGAGGCCGTAACGAATATAGTGGAAGAGGTGAGAGTGATGACGGTATTTATGAACAAGTAAAAGCAAAGTGTCAATTAATATGTCCTAACTGTCTGTTAAAAAGTTAACGGTTAGTATATTTTGTCTTTTCAAACATGTTCTGCAATTTTACTGAAAAGAATTAAACAGACTAATACGAGAAGGATACACTAATATTAAAACACAATAAAACATAGTTATTTAGTTGTCTGTGTTTTTACTTTCATTGTATATATATATATATATATATATATATATATATATATATATATATATATATATATATATATATATATATATATAATATATATTTATAGACACTCTCTTTACATTGGAAACCAAGGTTCTACATGACATATAACATTTCTGTTTTTAAAATGATTACCAGGAATCTCAAAGATAAAAGAAAAAATTTATTTAATATTAAAAAACAAGAGTTCTTTTATTTTTAAACCATAAACACGGGATTAATAAAAGAAATACAATTTTTAAATGAAATACAACTCGAGTATAAAGAAACAAAAATATAAATCATTAATGTTTGCTGGAAAACAAAAAAAAACAATATATTAAATTCTACACTAGAATGTACACAAACATACTCACCAGAGGTAGAAGATGTACTAGCTTCTAGCAAGCAGATGTAAAGAGTAGCAAGGAATGCTGGGTGTTTTATAGGGTCTGTGTAAACTCAGGAGCCAATCAAAACACTTGGCGAAAATTAAACTACAAGCTATAAAAAATCAGAGGTGTCACCGAAATTTTTTTGTGAGAATATTTTTTGGAAAGAATTTTAGGCAGGGATAGCACATACTAATAAACTGTTATAAGTTTATAACCTTTCTTTTTCATTAATGACAATTCTACAAGAAATTTCACTCAAGTTTGAGAGAAAAAGCAACAACAAAAAAAATTGCAAATACAAAAACGCATACGCCGCTGAGTTGATCTATCGAAAATCCAGCTGTCGATATATTGATTAAGAAACTATGACTTAGAGACTGGCCACGTCGGAAGGATTGCGAAAAAGATAATAAGTAGCGCAGGCGGGGTGGGGGCGAGATTTATGTATGTGTTACAACCCCTTTCCATCGTATATTTATGTCGATTTATGTCTGCTGTTCTCAAAATTTCAATATATATATATATATATATATATATATATATATATATATATACATATATATATATATATATATATATATATATATGTATATATATATACATCTGTATACATCTGTATATATATATATATATATATATATATATATATATATATATATATATATATATATATATATATATATATATATATATATATATTTATATAAATATATATAATATATATACTTATTATCCATATTATATCACACTCAACACAATGAATGTATGCACCATCGCGCTACCGGGATAGCCTTGGGCGCTACATTGCATCCTTTCGGGCGCCGGCGAACACGCATGATTCTGTTGGAAAGTTGTTGAGAAAGCCCCGGTGGATGTTTCTGCGAAAAAAACATTTAAATTTCGCTAGAGCGGCTCCCCGGCAATGTGCCATTAGGAGTTATTAAGTGATTACTATGGCGCCTAAGTTAGTTTTAAACAATGCTAAAGACTAAGAATAAGATGGGATGTTATGGTAATTCACTAAACTGAATTAGGCGCGTCTACCGACGCCAGGTGGGGTGCTATTTGCCCCGGGCTATCCTCGGCCTTTCCTCAAGCCCCACGGCAACGCGCGGCGACGGGCACGCTAGTAAATCTATAAAGGATGAATTTCTCAAATCGAAAAACTGACTTCGCGTTAATAGTTAATTGATGATCTACTGTTTTAATATAACTTTGCCTCAATGGTTTAACGATACTTTAAGTAGCGAAACTACCAAGATCAAAAAGTAAATTTTATACCAAGTATAGATTTTTTTTGGGTCAGCTTAAAGAGACGTGGGCGATGGTTTTTTTATTTTTTTATTTTTTTATATTTTGTATATTTTGTATATTTTGTATATTTTGTATATTTTTGTATATTTTGTATATATTTTTTAATATTTTGTATATTTTTGTATATTTTGTATATTTTGTATATATTTTTTTTACGTTTAACACTGGGAGAATTTTCCGAAAAGCCAATGTAATTGGGCTCATTAAAAATAAAATAAAAAATATGCCTCTTCTTGAAAATTATTAAATAAAAGAAACTAAATGACTTTAAATTTACTGTAATACTTTTTTGTCATTTCGTTATAAATTATTACTTGACATTTAAATTCAATGCTTTTATGCAGAGAAATGTATAGACCCTACTGAAACAGAATAAAAAATGGAGCATATTTAATATTTAAAGCTAAAACCAAACGAAGTTATCCTAAACTGTAAATTCAAGATTTAATTTAAGCTGACCGGTTGACGATTTCAGCATTGGATGGCCAACATTATTATCATTATTATTATTCAATGAAAACAATGCGTTTCGCCATAACGGGTCTATGCGGGTATGTTGTTGATGGTTGGCTGTTAATATTAAATTGTTCATTGTATGCTATTGATAATACTATGTTATTATTAAATTGTTGATGGTAAGTTATTGATAATAGAATGTTAATATTAAATTGTTGATGGTATGTCATTGATAATACAATGGTATTATTAAATTGTTGATGGTAAGTTATTGATAATAGAATGTTAATATTAGATTGTCGATGGTATGTTATTGATAATAGAATGTTACTATTAAATTTTCGATGGTATGTTATTGACAATAGAATGTTAATATTAAATAGTTGATGGTATGTTATTGATAATAGAATGTTACTATTAAATTGTCGATGGTATGCATGCTATTGACAATAGAATGTTAATATTAAATTTTCGATGGTATGTTATTGATGTTAGGTTGTTAATGGTAGGTTCTGGATATTAGATTGTCAATGGTAGGTTGTGGATATAAAATTATTAATGATAGGTTGTGGGTGGTAGGTTGCAGAATGGTTGGTTATCAGGGCCAGTAACATCCAGCTGTCTCAAGATTTTATTTCTCTTTTAAGATCAAATTTTGTGGCAGCTGTTATGTTTCTGTCTTACTTTATTCAATCAATACATCTATCTATCTACTACTGAAATTATCGACTACTCTGTCTACAAATTTTCTGTGTGGACCTTTCTCCAGCATAATTAAGTATTCCTAGCCAATCGGTGTGTCAACTTGTTACCAGATACGTAGTGAGGGGGGGGGGGGACATATGTCCTCGGGCGCTGACCTTAGGGAGGGGGGCGCCTAAATGGGTTGGAAAAACAAATTGAAAGTTTGAGGGGGGAGGGTGCAAATCAAAAGTTCGAGAGGGGGGGGGTGCAAATCGAAAGTTTGTCACCCCGGGCGCCGGGAAGGGTCGCTACGCCTCTGCTTGTTGCGCACCGTTCGGCCGGTTAAATAAATCTTTAGTATTTTTTTTCATTCTGGATTAAATTCCATAGCCTTCGTCTACTGAGAACATTAAGAAAAGCAGCCGCTATTTGATTTTTAAAATTTTGATATCCTAGATGGGTTGCTGTCCCCAGCTAGCGAGCGTCAGCTACAGAGGGGACTAAACGCTGGGCGTTTAGTTATCAATCATTATCGCTCATTCTCAACCACACCGTCCAAATTTAAGATTTCGTTAAAAATAAAGTAAAATATGTTTCATTTATAAAATGAACTATTACTCTGATACATTAAAAATTGAGCGTCCTTTTGATCTTTGTTTATTTCTATCATTTCAAAACAACAATAGGAAGAGTACCACGTGACCTGATTAACAAAACTAAGAAAAAGTGCAATCAATTTTCTTGTGCTACACTTACTACAGAAATTTTCTTTTCGATTCCCCAAAAATCTTTCCGTTTATATTGTTTTCAGATATTCAGATGTGCGGTGTGTTGTTGAGATAAAGTGATACAAGCTGTTTCACGTATTCAGGTCTTTCATCATAAGAGATAAGGTCTTTGTGAGTTTTTATTTACTTATAATTGTCTGTTTTAGGACTTGACTGATTTTGTTTTTAAAAAAAATCTATACAGCTTTTACTCTACTATTATTCGGCCATAAACCCTGCAACAAGTACTGACACTCGGCCAATAAACCCTCCAACAAGTACTGACACTCGACCAATAAACCCTCAAACAAGTACTGACACTCGGCCAATAAACCCTCCAACAAGTACTGACACTCGACCAATAAACCCTTCAAGTACTAACACTCGACCAATAAACCCTGCAACAAGTACTGACACTCGGCCAATAAACCCTCAAACAAGTACTGACACTCGGCCAATAAACCCTCCAACAAGTACTGGCACTCGGCCAATAAACCCTCCAACAAGTACTAACACTCGGCCAATAAACCCTCCAACAAGTACTGACACTCGGCCAATAAACCCTCCAACAAGTACTAACACTCGGCCAATAAACCCTCCAACAAGTACTGACAAAGAAAGTTTAATTGTAAGGCTAACTTTAATGTTCGACTCTATTTGAACGTTGGGCTGTCTTAATCTTTATAATGTCATAATAGTTTTTTGTCTTAATGTTTGTGATGTCTTAATAGTATTTTGTCTTAATCTTTGTGATGTCTAAATAGTATTTTGTCTTAATCATTATGATGTCTACATAGTTTTTTGTCTTAATCTTTGTGATGTGTTAATAGTTGTTTTGTCTTAATCATTTTGATGCCTTATTAGTATTTTGTCTTGATCTTCATGATGTCTTAATAGTTTTTTTGTCGTAATCTTTTTGATGTCTTAATAGTTTTTTGTCTTAATCTTTTTGATGTCTTAATAGTTTTGTTGTTTTAAGCCTTTGAATGTCTATTCTTATTTTCTTAGCTTGAAGGTCACACTATAGATTCCTCTCCCTCCCCTTCCCCCCATGTCTTACAAAATCATGCATCATTAAATTCACATTCTAGGTATTGACTTTTACTTACTCTTACTAATATGTTATTTGAGAGGATGGGTGTCGTGGACGGGGGGAGGGGGGGGGGGGGGGTGGCGGGCGGGGGCGGGTTTTTTAAAGTGGACGGGGCTTAGAACATACACTTTAATACACAGAACCACGTAAAATAAAACAACGTACACATCAACACAGGCAAACTTACGAACACACTAACCTTTACATTGAAACTGAAACAAGAACTCACAAAACACAACACATTGAAATGAAAACTTGCAGACACAGATGTTAACACAAACACACATTCATAGAACTACGTTTAGAGACACTCACAGACACACACAAACACATTTACAGACACACTCAAATAGACGATGGCAAACTAACTGACACGCTTACGAACACACAACCACATTAATTATCTATTGAGTTCTTTCCCTTGCCAAGGAGAAAATGATATAGCATTCGTTAATTAGTTTTGCGTGCGTTGCTGATTTTGTCAAAGACATTGCTAATAAATATTTACATGTACAAATCTCAACAACTAAGTTTTAATATTGAATTCTTTCTTCAATTTTCTTTATGATTAGCAAACAACAAAATATTTCAAAAGATTAATGTAGCTTCGAAAGCTCTGGTTGACATTTACATTTTTTTTAAAAATCCTAACGTCTGACTTCACATTTTAGCAAATAAATTTTGCTACTTTAAAT